AAGGAGCAGGTGAGGGACAGTGGGGCAAAGGGGCAGGGGTTGGGCCACCACACACAGATATTGAACTGTGCAAATAAAATGCCCCTTGTGTCCTCAGAGGCAAAGCTTTTCCACTTCCCAGTCTTTCCTTACACTGAACCCAACTGAGCTGTGTCCCTAAGCCCAGCTGCGAAGTGTTCAAGGCCCTCAGAGGCAGCCCTAGGGTTCCACCTCAGTCGTTCTGTCTAACCTGGAGCTGCAATTAAGGTTCTGCTTCTTCAGAGAGTTGCTGGGTATTTCAGGATGCCTACAAACTCCTCACTCCCTCAGCTGCAAGGGAGAGATTTCCTATAGATTTCCTGTATTGCCAAGTCAATATAGTGGAACTCAGCATAAGGGAAGGAGGTAGATAGGAAACGTCTGAGAAAACCTGCAGTTGTTTTTCAGTGTGAGATGCCCACTCAACTTCCTGTCATCACTTCCTCTCACCAGCACCTGAAGAGTTGGGCTGCTTCAAGTATGAATACTGAGAGCAGAGACCACTTCCTCTGCCAACACATAGACATTTAATCACGAAGACCACCCAGCACACATAAGCCAGCCCTTCCAGCCTACACCGAGATCAGACTACTAGAAAGAAACACTCTTCTCCTCCCCTCTTTCTTCAGTTACTCCAACCCAAACAACAACCAAGTCAGTGTAGTGGTAGGAATTTGTATTTTTTGCCTTGGTTCAGAATACATGAAATTGGTAAATATGCTACATGCCTTTGGTGAAGTAGAACTGTTATCATTCTATACAAGTATGAAATTGGGGTTAGGAAAAAAGACAAAGAGGCGAAGACAGACACACAATGGAAACCCCACATCATCTCATGGCAAACTGAAGAAGGGGCTGTGGGAAGCTCGGCTTCATCTGACTGTAAAGTCCCAGGGTTTAGTTGCGTATTTGCTCATGCACATAGGTGATAGGAGGGAAGACACAGAATAGGGTACAGGGTGGGGTGAGAAAGAAAGGAGAAGGGCTAATATCAAAAAAAAACAAAACAAACAAAATAAAACCAACTACATCTGGTGAACCTCAAAGGGACAGAAACCCAGGAAGTAACTCCTGTGACCGGGCTGGGTGGGCTGAGAGGGTGAATTTGTTCCAGGCTTGGGACACATCGAGGACAGTGGTGGTTCTTCTCCAGCGGTGACCCCCTGCATTAGGCAAGGAGGAGCCCAGAGGAGAGTGGAGACCTTCGAGGGGGATCGTTGGGAGGGGACGCTGACTGCTTTCTTCCAGCTCTTCAGTCCCACCATGAGGCAGGACGAAGGGAATGTGGGAAACAGGGGTGAAGGGAGAGGAAGGATGGTCTTGTGCAATGAAATGCTGCTGCGTGAAGTGAGCATCCAGACCCAGCCCATTCTGGCCTCAGCCTCTTACTGCTTGCGGAGCAGAGGACAGAAGGAATAAACGGTCATGGGTGTTCCCAGCCTGCCCACCTCCCCTCATACCTGGGTCTATCCCAGTCAATACCCCAACCTGAAGCCCAGCAGTGACCCCCAAGACAGGCTGAGTAGCTCCCATCCTCGGATTCCACTGTCGGCACCCACAAACCATGCAAAAAGAGAAGTAAAGGAAAGGAAGCGAAGTAGAATTCAGATGGGTGCACATGACCTAGAAGGGGAGTGTACTGCAGGAAGAATAAGAGAGGTGGCTCTAGAGGAGAGGTCCCCATGATAGCACGGCAATACATAAGCATGCCTGTCCACAGACTGTCCCACCTCCCACCCCAGGACGAATTGGTACATATACTGGACTTCTCTAAATCCTCAGAATCAGCCAGGACTCAGGAAGATCCTCTTGCCTCATCCCTGTCTTTGGCAAGTATACGGGGATGGTGTAGAGGAAGGGAGCCCCTGAAAGACCAAGGACCCTCACACTCCTTGATCAACAGGAAGGGAAGAAGAGGACCCTCCTTAATGAGAGGGCAAGAAATAGCTTCCTCTGAGCTTATTGTAAAATTAGGCCCTTGATTCCCTGTTTCTCTATAACTAACAGGCATTCTCTCTTTATCTATGCCAACAATTAAAACTAACCGAGAGTCCCAAACTTTGGTATATGAAATTATTTGGTGCTCTCATGAACAGTACAGGATGTTGCAGAAAATGTGGACAAGTGATAGCCCCTTCCAGTTATGAGCTTGTGGGACTGCTTCTAGGATGGGAATGAGAGTTCCGGTATTTTTTCAACTAATACGTGTTCTCCAGGTAGGTCTCTGAAGAACAAAATAAAAGACTGTTAGATCCCTGAAGACGTAGAAAACCTCAGACTAACAAATTAGAAATAACTGCAAAGAAACAGGTTTTACTTTCTAAAAGGGTATTGCACCAGGATCAAGTTGGACTTCGGGCCCACCCACGATCTTCTTCAGGCCTGGCATAGGCCCCAGGTAACCAAGGCAGCAACGAGTGAGCCATCATTTTCCTATGAGATACCGTGGGCTCTAATACTCTTCTCGTCCCCCAATCTTGGCACTTTCTAGGACATGTCACCCCCAGCTACACCTGTCCCCTTCTCTTGGCCTCCAACTCTTTTTGGCTTTGGAGGAATTTAGGGGTACATAAGAAAGGGGTAGGGAGGAGGTGCCAGCTGTTGCTCGCCAGGTAGTTATTTCAAGACTACGCCAGGAACAGCATTTCTAGTATTAAGGGACAGAGTGCAAATGGAAGCAACAGAAAAGGAGGAATGAGCAATGGAGAAGCCTGGGCTGGGATAGAGGAAGGTAGATGAGGAAATTTGTTGAGAGAACAAACAAGAGGGAGAGGAACATGGATTTGGATGGCAATGGAAAACAGGGAAGCGGCAGCACATTCTCAAGTAAAAAAGTAGACTGGACACAGGAATCAGGAAGTCCCAGATAGAAAAGAGAGAGACAGGAGAAAACAAGAGGACAAATTACATCAAGTTACTAGACATTCAGGTCTCTCAGTTATAGATGTCCCATCCCCACGTCTCCCTCTGCCCAATCTAGTGACAGACAGCATAGCCCCACTTCCTCAGAAAAGGAGTGACCATCTTCCCACATATCTTACAGAGGGAAGCCTTTTCCATCAAGGAAGTCCCTTGTCTTTGCCCTTCCTCCCTCCCGAATCAGGTGATGATCCCACAACAGCAATCTCCATACCTCTGTCAGAGCAGCCCCACTCCCCAGGAAGGCAGGCAGGCAGGACTGGGAGGAGATTCCAGGACCTTCCCGCCTCTTCACCCCACCGGCAACCTCAGCGATACTTACTTACTATAACTACCACGATGATGGCACAGATAGCTCCCAGCATGATCATCATCTGAGGAAACATTAACAAAAAATGGGCCCTTGGACTTGGCGAAGAAGGAAAGGAGCCAGGACTAGAGATGTGGAAAGAGAACTTTCTCCATCTTTAGGACAGTGCAAGAAACCACACATTACCCAGGTGATCTGTAGGCCTCTCGGGAAGGGACCAACCCTCATGCTCCCCACAGCTGAAGTGACTCAGAAATATCAGAGCATCAGCAGCTGGCTCCTTTTTCCTATTGCCTGAAGGCTTTGAAAGGAACTCTAATGGAGGTGCAGACTTTGGATCTTAAGTCAACTGGTTAATTTTTCATTGTGAAGTGTTCAGCTCATTCTTAAATGCTGCTGGCATTTAAATATATATCTACCCTAGCCATTGTGTTGATGTTCAGTATGTCTAAGGAAGGAGCAGATGAGCATTTTTCCGGGGGTCTTTTTTGGGAAAAGCAGCTGGACCAACCATTTCCAAAGCCTCTGGTTATCATCACTGGCCCCCAGTCAGTGGTTCTGAGTACTCTAGCCTACCCTGGTGGCCAGTTAGGGTAATGCAGCTCAAGGAGGCTTTCAAGATTTCTTCCCAAGAAAGAATTCTGCAGGGCAGAGGTCTTGTACCACTAAAGGGAAGAAACGAAGAACCTAAGAGTTTTCTTGTCTTCTATGAGTTGTGGCCCAGGAAAAAAAGGGGGAGAGGACAAGAAAATTCACCTTGCAGTTTTTCCACCAATACTTCCTCTTTAGCTTGGCAGCACTGCTCTCAAATTGTGACGCTCCCACCTGTAAGGCATCAGCTCGGTCATCCAGCTCTGACAGTATCTCGTCCCTCTTCAGGACCTTGTCCACATTCACGCGCATGATATCCACCACCTAAGGGGGGAGCGCAGAAACAAAGCTGCTAGGCTCTCCACTAGAGACGGGAAAGAACAACGACGAGGAGATCATAGGTCTGCCCTGCATAACTCCAAGGGATGCCTTGCCTCCCGGAGCCTCTAACTACCTCTCTATAAAAAAGAAAAGTTTCTAAACGTCTATAGTTTAAAAACTCAAAGAAAAACTTTCCACTTACCTCCTCTACTTGCGCCTGAGTTTGCTGTAGTCGTCTGTTACTGCTCGTATTAGGAGGAGGGCCAGGGGGACCCCCACCTGGGGCAGTCCCTTCTTCCCCTTCGGTAGGTGGCTGAGCTGGAGCAGACCTGTGGAGAGAAGTGGACAGAGTACACAAAGTACCCAAGACAAGAAAGGAATCATGTGCATTCTCACCCAACACCATCAAACTCATAGCAATTAAGTTACTATATGCAATTAGAAGGGGTTCTAAGTCCTTGGCAATACCAAGTAAGGAGATGCAGCACAGAGACAAGAAGCAAAACATGAAATATCCTGTAACAACATTTAGATGGGGCTCAGGGACATTCAGGGTGGCATCAAGAGATCTCGTTTCGGCTACCCTCTGACCAAAACTCAAACACATCCTCTGTCACTATGGTTACAGGGACAAATATTTCAGCCTTGGTCTAAATGGCATTTGCCTGACTTTCAGAAACCTTTCACATGAAGTCAAACTGGAAAACTCCAATCCAGGTTAGAAGGAATTCGTACAAAAGACAACCCTCAGGCAAGCCTACAGACCAAACAGCTCTTTTTTGCAAAGCCTAAATCTAAAAAGCTGATAGATTCTGCTTAAGGGGATCCACTAACTGGTTATGTTTGATGCGATGATTAGTCTGTAAAGACAACTTGGAGAATCACCCAAGGCATAGCCTCTGTAGGTGGAATGAGTCAGGACTGTTTGTTTGCTTTGTTTTGGCAAAGATGGGGATTTCCCTTAAATAGGCCTAAAGCAATTGTGTTAATTATAAAACTGTTCAAAGAGAATAAACAAGAGGCAAAATTAAGGGAAATGGGCCTCTGTGTACATGCATCATATACATTCTGTCTCTTCTTTTTCAAGATTTGGCATCCGGTCTCAGGAGACTACCCTAGTTCCTTATGTCTCAAAGAGAAATCTCGATTTATACTACTACACATAGTGATAATTCTCTTTCACTTAGCCTTAGAAGAGATTAATCTAGTGTGGAGTATTCAAGATAAACTCCTTTCCATGTCTCAACACATGGAAGCTAAATTCACCTTCTCAAGAATTCCCAGAAGTCTAACCTAAAGACATTATTAGATTTTTCTCTCCCAAGGAAGAAGCCATCAACAGGAGAAAAATCTCTCAAATTTAATAGAAAATAGAAATGATAATAAGAACTCAAACAGAAGCAGAATCTCACAAAACATACCTAATAGGAACAGTCCAAAAGTAAATGATCTAGGGATTAAATTATCACAAAGTTGCCACAAAGGAAATGCCTTGACTAATCACAATAGAAAACCAGAAGTTTCTCCTCCCTAAATGAGCTTCTTTCAGTCTAAAAAAGTAGAGAATAACATCTCAGAGAGGCTATACTAGCAGGTTACGCCCTATTCATCCCCATTTAAGGAATTACTTTCTCATTTCCCTCTAAGGTACAAAAGTGGCAAGAAAAGAAACATAGCCATGGAAGCCACAAGACTCTTGTGCTACTACTGAGCTAAGCAATCTAGCTCTCTGACTGAAGATAGAAGCCACTCATTTGGTCTTGGAAGCAGTCCAGGATGGTGGCACCAATGACAAAATTAAGGTCAGAGACCTCGTGAGGCCCTGATAGTCACCATACTTTCTGCATCTCCTTCCCTTCATCTCACATGGGTGCCACTAGGAACCAGTCAGCTGCAAAGGATCCTGCTTCCAAAAATGAAAACAAATGGAATCTTAGAACTTGGCTAAAATGCATAGAATATCACATAGTAAAAACTGCAGACATCAAGTAGAGAAAAAGTGAAATGGTTATAAAGTATTTGAAGGGACCATTCCATTTACTATTTGCTGGGAGTTGGAAACACTCAGCAGTAAAAGATCCAGGATAGTTTTAACCCTTATGAACATAAATAAATCTTCTCTTTTTGTCACCAGAAGAAACAGCACAAATATATCTAGGACCAGGACCAGACTCCTAGCAATAATAAGAAATAAAATCTCTATTAAACAGAGTATTTCATTTGTCTGGCCATAGTTCTCCCTCAGGATCTAGAGATGGGGGGTGATATTGAAGATGGTCAGAGACTAAATTAAATGTGTTGGGGGACAGAAATCCTCAGCTCTATTTCTCTTCTAAATACTTGGCTAAGACTCAGTGACAGGAAAACATCTCCTGTAAGGGTGGCTTTAGGATGAATGACTGCTTGGAATCACATGGCACTCACTGCCTCCTGAGTCTTTCTAAGCTACTCGCCTGGCGCCAGAGAACTGGCAGATAAGTTTCTGGAGCTCTGATCACTGGTAAGGTGGAGGGGAGTGGGTAACATGTCACAGTTGGAACGAGAGACATATACAAATCCAGAGATTGCAGGACAACACAAGTTACTAAGTGGCGGGTGCACCCATGACTGTCTTTCCATAGGCCCTATGTAAATTGAATCAGACAACAAGAAAGGACCTCAAGCCCCCTACCCCGTGACTCCTTGCCCCACCTTCGTCCTCTCTCGGGTTCCACTATAACAAAGACCTGAATGAGGTGCCCACCAGAAGAGAGGAGAGGGTGCAATGAATGTGGGACCACCGCGCCCCTGCCCGGCCCGTGGGGTGCTGGCTGTGGCCAGTGCAGAAGTGGAGTGCTACCCCCATCCCGAGATGGGTGGCCAAGTCTGGGGGTGGCGCGCGGTAGTAGTTCCCCGCGTAGCTGCAGCTGCTGCAATGCGCCATTTTCCGTCCTGCAGAGTCCGGCACTGGGGTGAAAGTTGGCAAAGAGGTGTCCGGCCCCCAACAGCAGAGTCAACTCACATTTCACTGACAGAGGGTCCGTCTCCTCTCCCGAGGCTGCGGCGAGACACCCGGAGAGGGGAACGCTGCAGCTGAAGTCGACGAAACTGCAGAACTCTGCCTATAGCAATCAATTCGGAGCTCCAGCTGCAGTGAAACTTACTGCACCGTCTCGCGGGTCCCAGTCTTTAATAGTGCCAGCCACGCCTTCCCGATAAAATTGACAATACAGCAGTCCAATCCACTCCCGGGACAGACGCCAGTCCAGAAGCAAATTGGCCAATCAAAGCTGTCCTTTTATCCGGACTCCGGCAAGGAGCGGTTGTGAGGTTCATTCACTGACCAATACAGGTAAGGTTGCTTACCTGTCTAACTAAGCGACAGGGCGGGGTGGAAATATGCTCCAGCCCCCTGGAGAGGCGACTCCGACAGTTTGAGTTAGGCCTTTTGGGGGAGCGCCTCCGAGCCAATCGCTGAGCAGTTTCTGAAGTCCGGGCCTGACCACGGCCCCCGGCGCCGGCAGCTCCAACCAATCGCGCCGCTACCGCTGACAGCCGTGGGCGGGTTCCCGCCACAGCTAGTGGCCGCAACTCCAGAGTCCTAGGGGACGCGGTGGTTCAGCGGTCTACGCACAGTCCTTGGCACCCAGACCAATCTGGCGCTCCCCCCCGCCTCCCTGCCTCTGACAAACAACTCCGAGGAGGCAGAATCTATCAAAGCACATCCGCAGGCTCTCGGGGCTAAGTTCCCGATGCGGGGTTCGGGCCCGCCAAAGCAGATATGAAGGATTCGTCCATGCGTTTCTTTCCGCATTGCCAACAAGCTCCTCACGTATTGTATCCTAAATTGAACTTCCCGCCAAATCTGCTCCTCCTGTCCCTCCCAGGTAGATTACCACATAGACTCGGTTTCCCAAATCGGAAACCTGGAAACCATCCTAGACTTCCTCCCCGTTCATTTTTACCCCTCCTCTAATAATTCGCCAAGTTGAGTCGATTGTTCCTTCTTAGTATTTCAAGAATTTTCTCCCCTTGTCTCGCTGTCCTATTTTAGACTATTATCCCTTGCCTGGACTCCATCCGTTGTAAAATGCACCATTATTTTAGTCCCGCTAAGAAAAAAGATAACAAACTGTGATACAGTGCTTTCTTATCACTTAGAATTTTTATATTTATTGAATTGTAGATTTATATATAGGCTTTTATCTTATTTCACTCGTGCATACATAAAAAGGAAAATAGAAAAGAATAACATAACAGTATTCCTAAAACTTCACATTCAGAGGCTGACTCTTATGATTCATTTTGCTGTTGTTAGTTCACATCTTATATTAACCCATATACAATTACTTGTCTTCTGGTTTGTTGAAGCAATAGGTCAGACAACATTTGCCACAATGTTTGTCAAAGTGGCTGGCCATAAAAACTCCAGCACTCCAAAAAGAAACCCTGTTAGTAGTTATCTCCCATTTCTCACCCCTGATTGCATCCCCTGGCAACAACTAATCTACTTCTGTCTATGTGGATTTGCCTATTCTGGACATTTCATATAAATAGAATTATAGAATATGGAGCCATTTATGACTGGCTTTTACTTGCCATAGTGTTTTCAAGGCTAATCCATATTGTAGAATGTATCAGTATCTCATTCTTTTTTAAGGCTGAATAACATTCTGTTGTATGGATATACCACATTTTGTTTATCCATTCATCAGTAATAGACATTTGGGTCATTTCTTCTTTTTGGTGTTTATGAAAAATGCTGCTATGAACATTCATGTAAAACTTTTTGTGTAAACATGTTTTCCATTCTCTTGGGTATATACCTAGGAGAAGAATTGCTCAGTCATATAGTAACTCTATATTTTCCTTTTGGGGAAACTGCCAGTGTTCCAAAGTAGCTGCAACATTTTACTAAAGGCTAAGTCTTAGCTGTTCTTTAGTCTTCTTCATGATCTGACTCTTGCCTCCATCTCCTGCCCTATCTTTTGCCTTGCACATTAGCTCCACCAGTAAATACAATTCATAGCTTTCCCATACACGTCATGCTGTTTCTCGCCCCTGGACCTTTGTTTCTGTTTCACCTGCCTGTAAAGCATGCTGGCCTCCTTTAAGACAACTCGGCAATGGGCCTCCTCCAGAAAAGTCTTTCCTGACTCCACATCTGCTCCCCCAGGAAAAGTGTCCCTCCTCTCTATACCTATACACATAGGTATTAACAAACTTTAAATGCCATGATATAATGGATTTTATAATCATGCTTCTTTGTCTACCTCCTGCACTAGATAGAATTCTTTAAGTACAGGAGTTGGGTGGTTGTTTTGTGTTTTGTTGGTATCCCTAGGGCCTACTGGTGACCTTTAGTAAGTGGCTATTGAATGAATGACTTTTACAGATATTTATCAAGGGCCGGTATACAAAGATATCTAATATACCAGATATTAGACTACTGCAGTAATCAAATATATGCAAGACAGTCCCTGCCCTCAGTGGGGATAAGGCCTAGCCAATGGGGAAGATGGACACAAATGCATAAAACCAAGCAAAATCATAAAGCAAAAATATTGAGTTCAGAGGCTCAGCCAAATCAAAGTAAAAGGACCTTAAAAAGCATTCCCTTGCTTTCTTTCATTTTCCAAAGCAATGGTCCTCAATCTTAATTTAGAATCTCTTGGGGAGCTTTTAAAAATATGAATGTTTAGGATCCTAGCTCAGATTGATTTTATTGGTCTTGGATGAGTCCTAGTCTTTTTTTTTTTTCTTTTTTTTTTTTAAGACTCTGAGAAGTTTTCTAACCTGTAGCCAGGATTGAATAGTTCTGATCTACGGGGTTAAAAAAAAAAAAAAAAATCTAAGCTTTTCATCTTGGCTTGACTCCTCCTAGTTACTTGGCATTGTTTTTCTATCCAAACTTATTGCCTATTATTAGAGAAAGACTACTATGTATTATTGATCATTAACTTAGTCCTGTGGACCTGTGTCAGTAGTTCCCACCTTTGTTAACACCTTATGTCCCCGTGATAAAGCTGCCCCACCAATTCCCCTTACCCATCTAAATTATTTCCCGTTCTTCAAAGCTCCTGCCCATAGATGTTACTGTTCATACTTAACATTGATTTCCCATTTCCATCAGCTGAATTTTCTAAGACTTAGTTCAAACATCATCTTTTCAGCAAATACCTTTTCTGACAAAAAACTCTCATAGAACTCTCTAATTTTCCTATGCAATTATCATATTCAAATTCATATTGTGTTTACATACATATCTCTTAAGTAGAATGAAAGCTGCCGAGAGTTAGGAATCAATCCTGACTTAGTGACTTATGTCCCTCCAAATAACCTTGTATGTAATGAATAGTTCAGTATTTATGGAATGAAAATGTTACTGTTTCACACTAAAACAAGATTGTACTGTCCTTGAAAACAAGACCTTTTGTATTTTCACAGTAGTAAGCATTCTATAAATGCCTGTTGAAATGAACTATCAATTTCCTTTTCACTAATAATCATTTATTCTACTAAAATATGTATATATATTCTTCAGAGCACCTTGCACTTAAGCAGTCGCAAATATTCGATTTTCTCCAGTCCCACCAAATCATGTAAAGTATCCCAGAGCCACATATACTTCATACCAACCACTCCATTCTTACATCCAGCTGCTCTCCAGCCATCTCTTTGAAAACTCACTCCCTGACACTCTCATATATACTTTTCCATGAGACCCAGGATCATAATACACGTTCACATATACCCATTAACTCATTTCTGCATAACCCACTTTTCATTTAACAAATACTTATTAATCTAGCTTCACTTCTGTTGTGCCTACTAGAAGACATAGTTCCAACAGATGTGAAATGTTACTGAGGTAGACACAAATATGGCTGTCAAAACATCCTCACATCCCTGTAATTGCATGCTGTTTATGATCCAAAAACAGAGTTCATTTCCTCATAACCTTGAATCTGGGCTGGCCTGTGGCTTACTTTGACCAATAGAATGCAGCACAAGTGACACCATGAGACGTCTTAGTCTATGTCTATCAAGCCTTCCAACTTCCATTTTCAACTCTGGGATCAAGCCTCCATGTAAAGAAGTTTGGGCTAGACCATGGAATAATGAGACTGTGTGGGAAAAGAATCTCAGCTACCCCAGCGAAGGTACCACACTTGTCAAAAAAGACATCTTAGACATTCTAGCTCCAGCCAAACTCCCAGCTGAATGCAATATGACTGACCCCAGTGCACACAGAA